TAAGCAAGGATCCAACGCAACAATATATGAACAAATTAGATTAAATGAATAAAGACAGGCTTTCAGAAATGCATCCTAGACAGAAAGGAGTGAGCTTAACTAGTACCACCAGCCCCCAGGGTGCCTATTATGTATTATTTGCATAAAACACACCAGAGTCTTGAGCATCCACCGGGTCGTTCTCCTTCCAACAGGACATGATGATGCTCCCCAAGTTGTTTTCTTTCTTGTCTTTTTGCAATTTTTACCTTTGTACATACTGCTATGCACTGGCCGTTTAGGTTTATTAAATATATAAAATTAATAAGTGGCTTCTGTGTACTAAATTAAAGATTCATAGCTCCTATGTACAGTATGTTATAATGACTGACTGCATACAGTGGGGATCGAAAGTTTGGGCACCCCAGCTAAAAATTTGTATTAATGTGCATAAAGAAGCCAAGGAAAGATGGAAAAATCTCCAAAAGGCATCAAATTACAGATTAGACATTCTTATAATATGTCAACAAAAGTTAGATTTTATTTCCATCATTTACACTTTCAAAATAACAGAAAACAAAAAAATGGCGTCTGCAAAAGTTTGGGCACCCTGCAGAGTTAATATCTTGTACTGCCCCCTTTGGCAAGTATCACAGCTTGTAAACGCTTTTTGTAGTCAGCCAAGAGTCTTTCAGTTCTTGTTTGAGGTATCTTTGCCCATTCTTCCTTACAAAAGTCTTCCAGTTCTTTGAGATTTCTGGGCTGTCTGTCACGCACTGCTCTTTTAAGGTCTATCCATAGATTTTCAATTATGTTGAGGTCAGGAGATTGTGAAGGCCATGGCAAAACCTTCAGTTTACACCTCTTGATGTAATCCCCCGTGGATTTCGAGGTGTGTTTAGGATCATCATCCATTTGTAGAAGCCATCCTCTCTTTAACTTCAGCTTTTTCACAGATGGCATCAAGTTACCATCCAAAATTTGCTGAAATTTTATTGAATCCATTTTTCCTTCTACTCGTGAGATGTTCCCTGTGCCACTGGCTGCAACACAACCCCAAAGCATGATTGATCCAACCCCATGCTTAACAGTTGGACAGAGGTTCTTTATATTAAATTCTGTGCCCCTTCTTCTCCAAACGTACCTTTGCTCATTCCGGCCAAAAAGTTCAATTTTAACCTCATCGGTCCACAGAACTTGTTTCCAAAATACATCAGGCTTGTCTATATGTTCATTTGCAAAGTTCAAACGATGATTTTTGTGGTGAGGACGTAGAAGAGGTTTTCTTCTGATGACTCTTCCATGAAGACTATATTTGTACAAGTATCTCTTTATAGTGGAATAGTGTACCACAACTCCAGTGTCTGCCAGATCTTTCTGGAGGGATCGTGCAGTGAAACGTGGGTTTTGAATTGTTTTTCTCACAATCCTGCGAGCTGTTCTGTCTGATATTTTTCTTGGTCTTCCAGATGTTGCTTTAACTTCCACTGTTCCTGATGACTGCCATTTCTTAATTACATTCCGAACAGAAGATATTGACATCTGAAAACGCTTTGCTATCTTCTTATAGCCTTCTCCAGCTCTGTGAGCGTCAACTAATTTCAGTTTTGTAGACAATTGCTTAGAAGAACCCATGGTGCTGATTGTTGGGGCAAGGTCAGATGAGTCTGGGCATTTAAAACCTTTGAGACTGACATCACCTGGTCTTCCCAGACGATGATTGAGAACAATCCATGACACTGGCAGGTCTCAGCTTTGCAAAGGGGGGGCAGTGCATGCTATAAATTCTGCAGGGTGCCCAAACTTTTGCAGACGCCATTTTTTTGTTTTCTGTTATTTTGAAAGTGTAAATGATGGAAATAAAATCTAACTTTTGTTGACATATTATAAGAATGTCTAATCTGTAATTTGATGCCTTTTGGAGATTTTTCCATCTTTCCTTGGCTTCTTTATGCACATTAATACAAATTTTTAGCTGGGGTGCCCAAACTTTCGATCCCCACTGTAAGTATACACCCCCTATTATATGGTGCAGCCAGAAAACCACCTGAAATTTCCCATCAGGGACACAGAATGCTACAAAAAATTTAGAGGTTTTACTCTTTCCCCACTCCATCCAAAACAACAGTAAAATTCCAAGTCATCTCTGATGCACCATTATCAGTCAAATATGGAATCACAATATTAACCCCATCCCTCTGACGCCTCCCAGCCCTTTAAGAGCTTTTGAAAGCCAGGAGGAGGAAGTGGGTACCTGGGTCATGTGATTGCTGTGATTGGCTGTTACAGCGGTCACATGATTGGTAAGCTCCCGATTACTAGTATGTATCATAAACTGTCTAGGTTTATTAAACATACATAATTAATAAGTGGCTTCTGTGTACTAAATCAAGAATTCATAGCTCCTATGTATGCTATAACGACTGACTGCATAAGTATACACCCCCCTATTATATGGTGCAGGAAGTCTTCCTAGACAGAAAAGAGCGAGCTTGTTTAGTACCACCAGCCCCCAGGGTGCCTATTATGTATTATTTGCATAAAATACACAAGAGTCTTAAGCATCCACCAGGTCATTCTCCTGCCAACAGGACATGATGAGGCACCCCAAGTTGTTTTCTTTCTTGTCTTTTTGCAGTTTTTAACTTTGTACATACTTCTATGCATTGGCCGTTTAGGATTATTAAATATACAAAATTAATAAGTGGCTTCTGTGTACTAAATTAAAGAGTCATAGCTCCTATGTATAATATAATGACTGACTGCATAAGTATACACACCCTATTATATGGTGCAGCCAAAAAACCACCCCAAATTTCCCACCAGGGACACAAAATGCAGCAAAAACTTCAGAGAGGTATTACCCTTTCCCCACTCCATCCAAAACAGTAAAATTCCAAGTCATCTCTGATACACCATTATCAGTCAAATGTGGAGTCACAATATTAACCCCTTTCCTGACAATGCCTCACAGCAGTCACATGATTGGTAAGCAAACTTTCTGGGTCATAAGACCGCTGCATGGCACGTGCTCTCAACACAGATTGTTGTTTACATAGGGCCACATATACAGTTGTGTTCAAAATAAGAGCAGTGTGTTGAAAAAAGTGAATAAAGCTGAAAATCCTTCTAATAGCTTTTATTTCCATCCACACAAATGCATTGGGAACACGACACATTCTATTCCAAATCACAACATGAAGAAAAATACATCAAATTTGTGTTGTTCCTCTAAAAAAATTGAAGAAAAGTGAATATTAGACGGTTCAAAAAAAATCGCAGTGTTTGTATTCTTCTTTACAAACTCAAACATTCACTATATAAGCTGAAAAATGTTTGAAGATTTTGCTTTCCTTTGAATGACTTCATGAATATTTGGTTGTAGTCGCACTGTTTCTGAGAACTGCTGTACATCTGTGTTGCATGGAGTCACCCAACTTCTGGCCCCTGTGATCAGGTATTCCAGCCCAGGATGATTGGACGACATTCCACAGTTCTTCTCTATTTCTTGGTTTGACCTCAGAAACGGCATTTTTGATGTCACCCCACAAGTTTTCTATTGGATTAAGATTCGGGGATTGGGCTGGCCACTCCATAACGTCAATCTTGTTGGTCTGGAACCAAGATGTTCCACGTTTACTGGCGTGTTTGGGGTCATTGTCTTGTTGGAACACCCATTTCAAGGGCATTTCCTCTTCAGCATAAGGCAGTATGACCTCTTCAAGTATTCTGATGTATTCAAACTGATCCATGATCCCTGGTATGCAATAAATAGGCCCAACACCGTAGTATGAGAAACATCCCCATATCATGATGCTTGCACCACCATGCTTCACTGTCTTCACAGTGTGCTGTGGCTTGAATTCAGTGTTTGGGGGTCGTCTGACAAACTGTCTCCGCCCACTAGACCCAAAAAGAACAATCTTACTTTCATCAGTCCACAAAATGTTGCGCCATTTCTCTTTAGGCCAGTCAATGTGCTCTTTGGCAAATTGTAGCCTCTTCATCACATCTTTTTTCCAACAGTGGGACTTTGCGGGGGCTTCTTGCAGATAGCTTGGCGTCACATAGGCGTCTTCTAATTGTAACAGTCCTCACAGGGAACGTAACACCTTCTTTCATCTTCCTGGAGCTGATTGTTGGCTGAGTCCGCGCCATTTTGGCTATTCTTCTATCCATTCCAATGGTAGTTTTTCGCTTTCTTCCACGTCTTTCAGGTTTTGGTTGCCATTTTAAAGCATTTGCGATCATTTTAGCTGAGCAGCCGATCATTCTGCACTTCTTTATATGTTTTCCCCTCTCCAATCAACTTTTTAATCAAGGTACGCTGTTCTTCTGAACAATGTCTGGAACGACCCATTTTCCTCAGAATTTCAGAGAGAAATGCACTGTAACCAGCATGTACAACATTTGCTGCCTTCCTTCCTTAAATAAGGGCAATAATTGCCACCTGTTTTTCAAAGAATGAATGACCTCACTAATAGAAACTCCACACTGCTATTATTTTGAACACGCCCCTTTCAATGAGTGATTCAATGACACAGAATCAGCAGCATGCATGTCATGACTGTTGGGTCTGTTGGATTTCTATTACTCTACTACACCTGCTAGGAAATTATTTGCCATGTAGTAATATCATTTCCACCAAAAACGGTGATTGATCCGGTTAGTGATGTCTGACTGCTATTATTTTGAACACAACTGTATATGGCCTCTAGGCATTAAAGCCACCCGCCAAGAGGCCACATATGTGCGGAAGAGGTTAACTATGTTCAATTTCTTTTATATGTATTGCTAATTGGTCCTTTTGTGAGCTCACAAATTTTTGGTGAGTCTCAGCTGAGCAGTAATAGGTTCCTTCTTGAGGCTTTCAGCTGAACCCAGGAGGAAGCTGTCAATGCCGGCCATTCAGTTGTGGATGAGAATTCTTTACCTTATGTACACAAACCCAAAATTTTCCTTTAAAAAAAATGTAACATGGATTTATTAAGTTGCAAAAACACCAGTGTTACTAAACCAATGACTCTGCATTCACTATATCCGCTCTCCCAGACCCTGCATTCACTGTATCTGGTCTCCCCGGACCCTGCATTCATTATATCCGGTCTCCCCGGACCCTGCATTCACTATATCCGCTCTACCCGGACCCTGCATTCACTATATCTGGTCTCCCCGGACCTGCATTCACTATATCCGCTGTCCCCGGGACCCTGCATTCACTATATCCCGGTCTCCCCGGACCCTGCATTCACTATATCCGCTCTCCCCGGACCCTGCATTCACTATATCTGGACTCCCCGGACCCTGCATTCATATATCCGCTCTCCCTGGACCCTGCATTCACTATACCCGCTCTCCCCTGGACCCTGCATTCACTATTATCCGCTCTCCCCAGACCCCGCATTCACTATATCCACTCTCCCTGGACCTGCATTCACTAAAATCCGCTCTCCCCGGACCTCTGCATTCACTAAATCGCTCTCCCCAGACCTGCATTCACTATATCGGTCTCTATCGGACCTGCATTCACTTTATATCCGGTCTCCTCGGACCCTGCATTCACCTATATCTGGTCTCCCCGGACCCTGCATTCACTATATCTGGTCTCCCGGACCCTGCTTTCACTATATCTGGGTCTCCCCGGACCCTGCATTCACTATATCTGGTCTCCCCGGACCCTGCATTCACTATATCCAGCTTGGTCTCCCCCCCTGCATTCACTATACTGGTCTTCGCGCGGACACCTGCCATTCCGCTCTCCCCGGACCCTGCATTCACTTATCTGGTCTTCCCTGGACCCTGCATTCACTATATCCTTCCGTCTCTCCCGGACCACGCATTCACTATATCCGGTCTCCCCGCCCCTGCATTCACTATATCCGCTCTCCACGGAGACCACGCACCCTGCATCCCCAGACCACTATATCTGGTCTCTCCGGACCCTGCATTCACTATATCTGGTCTCCCCGGACCCCGCATTCACTATATCTGGTCTCCCCGGACCCCGCATTCATTATATCCGCTCTCCCCCTACCCTGAATTCACTATATTCGGTCTCCCCAGACCCTGATTTCACTATATCCGCACTCCTCGGACCCGCATTCACTATATCTGGTCTCCCCGGACCCCGCATTCACTATATCCGCTCTCCCGTCGGAACCCTGCATTCACTATATCTCTCTCTCCCCGGACCCTGCATTCACTTATCTGGTCTCCCCGGAACTTGCATTCACTATATCCGGTTTCCCACAGTACACAGAAAACATGGAAATCAAATTATTTTAGTAAATAGTATAAACTGCTAAATACCTTTTCTCATCAGCAGTATATGGCAGTCTTGTGACTTCTATCAGTGTCTGGCAAAGGACTGGTTAAAATCTGTAAGGTTGAGATTTCATTCTCCTCTGACTGTCCTATGAGACTGCATGTCCCTGCCCCTCTGTCTGGAAAGTGCTGTTTGGCCCTGTTCTGATCCATCTCATGCACCATTCCAACCCCAAAAAAAATTATCTAGCAATACACACGAAACTGAGCATGTGCAGAGTGCCTCCTAGGGCTCTGAAACTATGGCAGATGGATTGGGGACTGTGGAAGAAGGGGAGTAGAAGAGAAAATAGGATTAATCAGCCGTTTCACACAATGTGGAGGATTAACCCCTTAGGCTCCACAGTGAGTATAACAAGCATGCTTTACTTGCATAACAGACTGATTGTACTGTTGTGGGTTTAGTAACACTTTAAGTTGTGCTTTAAAAGATTTAAGACACACCTAAAAAAAAAAAAGGTACGGAATGAGAGGCCACATTAGCATGCCTAAGGCGTTACTATCACTTGAAGATCAAGATCATACAAACTCTCTATCCACACACTCCTGTGAAGACTTTTTCCATTACAATGTCAGAATGCTGTGGTGTGTTGCCAAATCTAGAAATCAATAACTGTTTGGTTGTTCCAGCTCCCAAGAAAGGAAACTGTCCCGGCTCCCCAGCTACCCCCTACGGGACTAAACGGAAGGTGTCAACATGATGTAAACTAGATTGTAGAGATGATTCAGGTTGCCCTGGTAAAGAAAAATGTCTGCCAACCTACTGCGAATCGAGGTGCACAGGCAACGCCGGAAGTAAGTGGACCTTAGAGTATGCCTAAGCCCAAACATGATAGTCACAAAACCTATCTAAAACTGTATGTTACAGACAAATGACAGAAAGGTGACATGGATTACTGGGGAGTGAGCTGTGTGTACTGTGAGTGTGGATATCACCGGTGTCATGACTACATGGGGATACTGTGTGTGGGGAGTGTAGATATCACTGTGACAAGGTACTGGGAGTGAGTGTAGATATCATAGCACCGGTGACATGGATACTGGGGAGTGAGCTGTGTGTATGGAAGTGTGGTGATCATGGTCACTGGGTGAGTGAGGTGTACTGTTGGAGTGCGGATATCACTGCTGAATGGATACTGGGGAGTGAGCTGTGTGTACTGGAGTGTAAATATCAGATGGTGACATGGATACTGGAGTGAGTTGCGTGTGTGTACTGGGGAGTGAGCTGTTTGTACGGCGGATATCACTGGTGACATGGATACTGGGGAGTGAGCTGTGTGTATGGAGTGTATCACTGGGATCGTTACTGGGAGAGCTGTATCTGGAAGAGCGGATATCATGGTGACATGGATACTGGGGAGTGAGGTGTGTGTACTGGTGTGTAGGTTATCACTGGTGACATGGATACTGGGGAGTGAGCTGTTTGTACTGGAGTGCGGATATCACTGGTGACATGGATACTAGGGGAGTGAGCTGTGTGTACTGGAGTGCGGATATCATGGTGACATGGATACTGGGAGTGAGCTGTGTGTAAGGTACTGTGAGTGTAGATATCACTGATGACATGGATACTGGGAGTGAGCTTGTGTGTACTGGAGTGTAGATATCACTGGTGACATGGATACTGGGGAGGTATGAGCTGAGTGTACTGGAGTGTAGATGGATATCACTGGTGACATGGATACTGGGGAGTGAGCTGTGTGTACTGGAGTGTGGATATTCATTGTGTGCGACATGATTATGGGGAGTGAGCTGTGTGTATGAGTGTGGATCTCACGGTGACATGGATACTGGTGAGTGTGATACTGCCACTGTGGATATCACCGGTGACATGGATACTGGGGAGTGAGCTGATGTGTACTGGAGTGTGGATATCACTGGTGACATGGATATACTGGGGAGTGGAGATGTGTGTACTGGAGTGTGGATATCATGGTGACATGAGCATGTGTGTACGGACATGGGATTCTGGGAGTGAGTGTGTGTGTACTGGAGTGTGGATATCACTGGTGACATGGATACTGGGGAGTGAGGTGTGTGTACTGGAAGTGTCGGATATCACTGGTGACCATGGATACTGGGGAAGTGAGCTGTGTGTACTGTGAGTGTAGATATCATATGACATGGATACTGGGGAGTGTGTGTGTGTACTGGAGTGTAGATATCATGGTGACAGGATACTGGGAGTGAGCCGCTGTGTGTACTGGAGTGTGGAAATCACCCCGGGTGAATCGGACATGGATACTGTGGGAGTGAGTTGTGAGTGTCATGTACATAGCTGGAGGAGTGTACTGGAGGGCGGATATCACTGGTGACATGATACTGGGGAGTGAGCTGTGTGTACTGGAGTGCGGATATCACTGGTGACTGGATGACTTGGGAGTGAGCTGTGTGAGTACTGGAGTGTGGATCTCACTGGTGACATGGATAGTTCTGGGGAGTGAGTAAAAGCTGTGTGTACTGGAGTGTGGAATCACTGGTGACATGGATACTGGGGAGTGAGTGTGTGTACTGAGTGCGGGCTGGTGACATGTACTGGAGTGTGTCTGGCATATGTATCTCATGGTGACATGGATACTGGGGAGTGAGCTGTGTGTTACTGGAGTGCGGATATCACTGGTGACATGGATACTGGGGAGTGAGATGTGTGTACTGGAGTGCGGATATCACTGGGACAATATCACTGGTGGACATGGATACTGTTGGGATATGGGGAGTGAGCTGTGTGTACTGGAAGTGCGGATATCAACGGGTGACATGGATACTGGGAGAGAGTGATGGTAGTGTGTACTGGAGTGTATATCTCACTGGTGACATGGATACTGGGGAGTGAGCTGTGTGTACTGGTGTGGAGTGTGACATGGGATATCATGAGCTGTGTGTACTGACATGGGATACTGTGGGGGAGTGAGATGTGTGTATGGAGTGATTCACGATCATGGTACTGGGGAGTCACTGGTGTATGGGTGCGGATAATCATGGATACTGGGGAGTGAGACGTGTGTGTGTACTGGAGTGTGGAATATCACTCGGTGACATGGATACTGGGGAGTGAGCTGTGTGTAGCTGGAGTGCGGATATCACTGGTGACATGGGATAGCTGTGTGTACTGGAGGGGATGGTGACATGGATGAGCTGTGTGTACTGGAGTGTGTGCGGATATCACTGGTGACATGGATACTGGGGAGTGAGCTGGGGAGTGAGAGTGTGTGGTACTATGGGGAGTGAGTGTGACTGGAGTGTGGATATCACTGGTGACATGGATCAACTGGGAGTGGTGTAACATGGATCACTGGGGAGTGAGATGTGTGTATGGAGTGCGGATATCACTGGTGACATGGATACTGGGAGTGAGCTGTGTGTACTGGAGTGTGGATCTCACTGGTGACATGGATACTGGGGAGTGAGCTTGTGTACTGAGTGTGGATATCAATGGTGACATGGATACTGTGGGAGTGTGGCTGTGTGTACTGGAGTGTGGATATCACTGGTGACATGGATATGGGGAGTGAGCTGTGTGTACTGGAGTGTGGATATCACTGGTGACATGGATACTGGGGAGTGAGCTGTGTGTACTGGAGTGCGGATATCACTGGTGACATGGATACTGGGGAGTGAGTGTGTGTACTGGAGTGCCGGATATCACTGGTGAACCCCATGGATACTGGGAGATGAGCTGTGTGTACTGGAGTGCGGATCTCATAATCTTTTCTGTCTTTATGCACCATTCCTCTCACCTGGATTTGTGTTGTATGGACTATGTAGATATCTTCACCGATTTCATTTACTGGGGATTTTTAGCTTTTGCTGCCATAAAATGATAACTACAGATAGAATATTTTTCTTGCAGTAACAAAACATGGATTTTGCACTGTTACAAATCCTTGTCATGACTCATGGGACGAAAATTGCCACCTTCGAATGGACTACGGATTGTACTGGCATCCTAAAGTGCTGCACCATCGACTGTGAACTTAAGTGTACCAATGTGCTTTAATGTGAGTGATGTGATTTGACAACACTGAATGTTCAGGTCAAAAAAAATCAAACCTCATTGACCACCATGCAAAATGGCTCAGCTTGGTATTGAGTGTTGTAAACAGTCAGGTACTTACATAGTTACATAGTTAGTACTGGCTGAAAAAAGACAAAAGTCAATCCAGTTCAACCAGCACAAAAAAAAAAAAAAAAAGTTATAATCCGACACCCACAGTTGATCCAGAGGAAGGCAAAAGATCCCAGCAAAGCATGATACTAATTTGCTTTTGCAGGTGAAAAAATTCACTTCCGGATCACTCTGAGAGGCAATCGAATAAATTCCTCAGTTAATCAAACTTTACCTATAAATGTTATGCAGGCTATAGAGAAGGTTAGTTCTATCGGCTGATTTTTCGGCTGAA